AATCCGCCCAAAATGGATGCATCAACCGAGAAGGATGTACGAAGGAAGTACATCAATCTAGGCAAACTAAGGGCGTTGCGGACGATGGTCAGCGCGTCGTGGACCGGAAGATGAGACACTCGGTCGAGGGCGAATTTCAGCTCTGCGAGTTTTTTATTAAAAAAAGTGTTTTGAAACTCACCCTCCATCAATGGGGTGCCCAAGAAGCTCAATGATGCCTCAGACACTAAGGGCACTTCCGCCAGTGTCTGTGGCATTTCGAAAGAGTCGTTTGCGTACAATTCGCATTTTTTAATATTAAGCTCAAGCCCAATGATGGAGGCATTGTCTTTTAAAGACAGGAAATCAGTAGCTAAAATTGCACCCTCGGCGGCCAAACTGATATCGTCCAGGTAGCCGCAAACGAATTTTGAAAGAGATTTTTCCAACACCGGGTGTAGGGTCAGAGCAAACAACATCGGCCCCAAAGGGTCACCCTGTTGCACCCCCTCGGACGATTCCATCACCCAGGTGTTATAACCAAGAGAAGAGATTCGGCCATATGCGGAGTGGCAGTAATTGTAAATTTGGGGACAGAGCCGTTTGACTGCCTCCAGCATCGAATCTCACCTCAGGGTATTAAAGGCATTCCTGAAGTCAATTTTTAAAAAACCCCATTTATCGGGTAAGTCCAGAACCAATTTACGGGTCGCATGTACGGCCGCCTCTGCTCCTCCTTTCACCCCAACGCCCAGTTGAATGTATGTATGTATGTATGTAATGGAAATTGTTCCATTACATGATCACGTGAAATAAGTACTAGCACAAAGCACGTGTGCTTACCTAGGAGAGAGCGCCGTATGGTCACGTGGGTCGATTACTAGACCAAAGTACAAGCGCTTACCTAGGAGAGAGCACCCTGCATGCCTATAAATAGCCTACGCAAATAAGTTAACTATCTTTCTTTTCTGCGGCTCTTGTGCCGGAGTCGACATTAGTAAAGTTGGTTATTGTATCGTTGCATTTTCGTTAATTTGGTTTATTCGATTAATTATTTAGTTAGGTTTTAATAAAGGAGGATTAATAATATATCTGTCGTTGCGTTTAGTTAATATCGAACCCGTTACATTGGTGTCAGAAGTGGGATAGTTATTTAATTGGTGATTAATTAAATAACTAATAGGACGTTTTGACATTTATATAAAAAGATTAATTAAATACTTAGTTATAAGTTGTTACATTTGTTGTACGTTTGTTGTAAGTTGAGAATTCAGAATTATAATGGATCGATTGACGAAGATGAAACAACATAAATTACAACGTCTGCCGAACGAACAAATAACAAGGAAGCTACTGAAGAGATCAATTGACGAAGCCAGTGTACGATTGATGAGCCGATCACAGCTGTTAGAAACGTGGGCAACAATTTTGGCGGACAGCGCTGATTCTCCATGCAGTGTTGCGGCGGAGGGCGCTGTGTCGAAAGATGCTGAAGGTGGATTGACCTTATACGAAAGGAAACAGTTAGAAATGGAGTATAGGCTTCGAGAAGCGGAGATTGGTAGACAAAGAGAAAAAGATGAGAGGGAATATAAGCTCAAAGAAGCAGAGATGGCCAGACAGCGTGAAAGAGATGAAGCAGAGATGGCCAAACAGCGTGAAAGAGATGAAGCAGAGATGGCCAGACAGCGTGAAAGAGATGAAGCAGAGATGGCCAGACAGCGTGAAAAAGATGAAGCCGAATTCAGGCTTAAGAGTCAAGAATTAGAAATTCGACGACTAGAGGTAGAAGGTATGAATAATCGAAGAGTGGCCAATGATGCTAGTGAGGATAATAACACGATAAAACTAATGCAACAGACTCGATTTTTCGCGGAGTCGTTAAAACATCTGATAGGAACTTGTCCGTTAGAGCCAAGAGATATTCCTGCATTCTTTGAACACGTAGAGAAAATTTTTCGAAACTATCACGTAGACGGAGAAATTAAAGCCAATTTGTTGATAATGAGTTTGAACGAAAAGGCCAAAACGTGGTTGCATACTATTTCCGCCGACGGTCTGAAGGATTATAGCGAAATTAAAAGACTCATTCTGCAGGAGTTCAGGTTAAACCCGACAAAATTGAGAGATGAATTCTTCGCCCTGAGAAGACAGAAAAGCGAATCGTACACGAGTTTCGGGGCGAAATTATACGGCACGCTGAACCACTATTTTCAAAACCGTAACATTACGGGATTAGAAGATGCAATGAAATTGATATGTGCAGATAGAATGAAAGAGTTGATATCAAGACGTACTCTGGAATTTATTTTGTCACAAGAGCAAGCAGCTTCCTGGATGAGTCCTGACGTGTTGGCACAAACGATCGACAAATATGAAACTGCCATGAACATGAAAGTTTCGAGCGACAATACATGTATACCGGAGAGTATCAATCAGATACAATCATTTCGAGAAAATGAGCACCAGATGTATAGAAGTAGCAACAACAAATCAGCTTCACCCAAACAAACCTGTTTTTCTTGCGGGAAGATTGGTCATATTGCAAAGCACTGTACATGGAAAAATAGAAATACACCTACGGCCACTAGAAACGTCATGCGCTGCGAAACGAACAAAGAAACACAAAGACCACAACAAAAACGTCAACAGCAGAGGCAGTCAAAAAAGCAACCGCAACAACATCAGGAACAAACTAATGATGAAATAACAAATTATAAAAGTATTGACAACATCAGCTCCTCAAAATATGATCATAAATCTTTGGGTGAGACTCTACAACCCAGATCGTCCAATGCCGAGAATTTTTCGGAGAGCCTCAAAACTTCTGCGAAGCCGTCGACATCAAGACATGTTCCAGTAGAATTTCCGTCAACATACGCGTCCTTAGCATCGTCGACAACCAATGAAAGAAGTCACACAGTTTCAAAAAGCTTGTCAGTGGCGTGTGTAACGTTGGAACACCCATCCCATGAGCTACTGAAGGACAACAACTTCACCTGGCACAAGTACAATTCTTACCGAGCCAAATGCCTCAAAGATCGTCGGAAGGTTGGGATCGGGCAGTCTACAGAAATGAACACTCTTTTCAGGTTTTGGTCATTTTTTCTTCGTCACCACTTTCACCAAAAAATGTACGAGGAGTTCAGGCAACTTGCCATTGAAGATGCCAATAAAGGGTTCAGGTATGGCTTGGAATGTCTGTTTCGGTTCTATAGTTATGGTTTGGAGAAAAGATATCGACCTGACTTGCTTGAGCACTTCCAAGAGGAAACCATCAAAGATTATTAAAATGGCCAGTTATATGGCCTGGAAAAGTTCTGGGCTTTCCTCAAATATTCAAGGAAACATGTGCTGGTCGATGGCAGGTTGAGGGGATGGCTCAGCAAGTATCAGAGACTGGAGGATTTCAAAGTTGAGCCCCTTCTCGGTTCGGGGCCAAGCTTCCATCTCAACAGTCAAATGCAACCTCATTTTTACTCGAACAGGCCCCCAATGAATTATATGACCAGAGTCAGACAGGAGTCAAGTGGTGGCCAACATCACCAGCAACATCAGATGCGAAGCTGTGCCAATGCCAGACTATACAATGCCCGAGTTAAAGAGGCACAAAGATTACTTCAGTTTGGGCTATTCTAAAATTCCGATCATGGATTTGCTTATCCAAAATCAAGAGTATAATACACAATTCTATTATCGTCCAGGTGCACGTAAGGTTGCCAAATTTTCCTCCAGGATATAAAAGTCAAGAAAAATTTATCGCATTTTTGGACATTGATTTTTGTTTTGTTTAGTTTTTATTTTTGTATGTGTGATGAATGTTACATTCATCCTCCTAGGCGTTGGAGGTATGTAATGGAAATTGTTCCATTACATGATCACGTGAAATAAGTACTAGCACAAAGCACGTGTGCTTACCTAGGAGAGAGCGCCGTATGGTCACGTGGGTCGATTACTAGACCAAAGTACAAGCGCTTACCTAGGAGAGAGCACCCTGCATGCCTATAAATAGCCTACGCAAATAAGTTAACTATCTTTCTTTTCTGCGGCTCTTGTGCCGGAGTCGACATTAGTAAAGTTGGTTATTGTATCGTTGCATTTTCGTTAATTTGGTTTATTCGATTAATTATTTAGTTAGGTTTTAATAAAGGAGGATTAATAATATATCTGTCGTTGCGTTTAGTTAATATCGAACCCGTTACATATGTATGTATGTATGTATGTATGTATGTATGCATGTATGTATGTTGTTAAAACCAAATTATTGACGAATGACACCAAAAGCCAAGCGTCTGACTAAATTTGATTGTATGTATGTATGTATGTATGTATGTATGTATGTATGTATGTATGTATGTATGTATGTATGTATGTATGTATGTATGTATGTATGTATGTATGTATGTATGCATATGTACACGTGTATGTTGACAAGCATGAATGTTTGGGGTTCTATGTCTTTATATTGTTTTTTTCTTTGTTTTCGCACAAGAGTGAAGATATTCTCAGCTTCCTACTCTCATGATAACTTGATCATCCTATTAGTTTCAAACACAAAGTAATGTTTTTACAATCTTTAAATCAACTCAGTAAACTCCAAACATACATTTTGTTTGAGTCTTTCATTACTATCATTATTTTAATAATGTTTTCGCACGTCATTCAGGATCTGATTTTCTGTAAAGAAGAATAATAAAAAATATATATTATGATGACGCCATTGAAATCTCTCGCTTCAATAAATCTGTAGAAAATAATTTCATGCCCGTTTCAGGGCATTCGAATGTCAACTAATTGTTGTGACGTAACGGTTGAAGCTGATGCTGCTGTGGGAATTAAGGAAGATTTTATTAACTACAGCTGCAAACACTACAACTGCTGCCACCGCCAACATCAAAACCACTACGACGACCACCACCACTACCACCACCACCACCACCACCACCAAAATCACAGCTATCAGCGATAATGTTATGTTCTCCATCATTTCTCCATTATGCGATTCGGAGCGTTTTGAAAGGAGTAGAGGAGCGTGTATAAGTTATAGAGTACACCAGAGAGGATCATGCAGCGATGTTTTATATTTGTTTTATAGAGATTCCAGTTTATGTGCGTGATGGAGATTAATGACTCGTTGGAATAGATAACTTCATTAAAACGAATATCCATAAAATCGTCTGTGAGTGTATTCTTTTGGGTGCCTTAAAAGAAATTATAAGGTAGGTGCTGATCGGATGTTGTGGTTGCAGTTGCAGTGAATATAGTTGTTTGACACGTGTGAGAATTTGTACAAATATATAATTTATTCACCGTCAAAATATAGTTCCTCTTGATTCGAGTCAAAAATTTTATTTAAATTTTAAAATCGGAGACCCGGTTGTAGTTATTAATCGTTAATGACGTTTAATAAACGTTTTTCAAAAAAAGAATGGAACGTGAATTTGAATTGAAGTGGTAGGCTAGTGGTAGGTAGTCTTTTACCATTTTTCGTGAACATTTTCGTTGTCATTTATGTTGAAAGAAACATTGATTTGTTATTGAATCAATGAATTTTTAATTTCGAAACAACCTACAGATGAATGTTTAGTGATGGATATACAGGCTGGGTTGTGGCGCTTTTATTGTTGCACTCAAATCTCTATTCGCTCATTTCAGCAAACATTTATTCGTTAGATTGCTAGGACGTTCATTCATCTTATATTGGTTCCTACTTCTTCCTTCATACAATCTATTTTTGCTTTTATTTTTATTCATTTTTTCACTTTAACGATCAGATTTTTTATTTACATGTCAGTTAGCTTTTTCAGTTATTTACTATAAATCTTTCCTCTCTTTCTAGTATTATTTCTTTCAATTCAATTTTATTTTATATGATCTCTTTAATTAAAATATTTTGTTTCTATAAATCAGTTTGTTCAATATCTT